GTAGAAAGGTTGTCAGTACCGAGGTGGATCAGAGAGACGGTGGCTTAATTATTGCACTGTAAGCCTGTAGGCTGTACATGTCACCCCCACTTTTAATGAAGTTTACCTTCACCAGCCTGCAATACTGGAGTCCGTAGTGTTGTGTCTTTCCACTTACTCCAAACTGTAAAAAAAAATGAATCCGTTGATCTCAGAGTTATATAATAATACTCCTTTTCTGTGTAATTCATAGAGACTTCCATTGAATTATCTTGGGATTTGCTCACTAGCTCTTACCTGACATCGTCAGCTGTTTGGAGCGGAGCAGGTAGTGCGCAGTGGATTGATTAGGGCCTTCGAGCTTATAAGAGCTACCTGCTGCTGCTGGAAACAAGGGCCATCAGAGCAGAGTTGGAAAAGCAAAACAATGAGTTTAAAGTTACTGTAAGGAACAGTCGAACTGTTAAACAGACTCTCTGTAGTACTGATGCCTCTATGAGACATCTGTAAATGTCATCTCATTTCTCCAACGATCCCCACTGGGATTTAACATCATCACCACTGTTGGAGGCCCAGGCCCTAATGGGCCCTCTTAAGTGAGGATAGTTATGGGAGAACCAGAAACCAGTAACCAGGGCAGACCTTTCTGCAGTCAAAGGAAAGCTTTTCAGGAGGAACCCTGGAGTTTGGAAGCACGACTCAGGAACCACCAAAATGAAGATTCCTGCTGGCAGCTTTAACCACTGTGAGACATGGTTGTAACCGCTTGAATCCACCAGATCAGTAGCATTCTCAATACCAGCCACCGTCAGGAACGGTGTGTAGGACCCAAACCCAGACTCGGCAACAAAAAGACTTAAATAGTCAAAATCAAAAAAGGGTTAAAAACACGGACGGAGAACTCACACGACATACAGGAAATGACATCCAAGCATGACATGCAATGACGCGACAAGGGACAAAAGACACGCAGGGATTAGATACACTGGGAAGGTGCAGGTGATTGAACACCGGTGGAAACAATCAGAGACACGGCAGACAATCACAGGGGAAGACAAGACAGGACAAGGCAGGAAGTGAAGTTAACCAAGGCACACAAGAGGCAGAAAACTACAAAGTAAAACAGGAAATAAACCCAAACCGTGAAACATTTGATCAGGCGCAGTTCTCCGCTGTATGTCGCGCCTCTTTGTTTTACTTCCAAGATTCAAAAATATGGAAAGTGAGTGCAGTGTTACTGCGTGTGTAATGAAGACTGTGGAGCCCCACAGACCCAAGTTGTTTGCCCCATAGAGGCTCTCAAGTGGGGCTGTTCAAAGTTAACAGCTTCTTACCATAAACTAATCCACAAAGAATATAGTGATGTTGCACATTGAATTAAACAGCAGAAGCCGGGCTATATGCATGCCTCATTTACATGCTGCAACACAATAAAAACACACGCAACTAAATAACCAAATATCATAACTCATATGACGAGAATTGGACAACGTAGGGAGTCAAAACATTAGAATCAGCTTTTGTCCAGTTCAAAGGTTACGCGTCAGTCTGTCATTCACCAGCGAGACCCCTCCCCTCCTGCTGATCCTGGTTGGCTTAAAATGCTGTCAATCTCATGGAAATGGCTCAATTCTATAGGCTCTAATGATCCCAATGAAGTTTCAATAACGCTATTTTGCCAATCCTTTGCTGAGGAATCGCCCTGCATAATGACAGGACATTTTCTCTCCTCCTTACTGCATGTCAGTCAGTCATCTTCAAAGCCGCTTATCCTTCATTCAGGGTTGCGGGGGGCTGTAAATCCCATCCAACATTAGGCGAGAGACGGGGTACACCCTGGATTGGTCGCCAGTCAATCTCACCAATTAAAACCTTTTCCTCTCTGAGGCTGTTTTTGGGGCTCTGGTCCAAAAATGACATTAGAAATCACGTCATTTAGCACTTTTATCCAAAGCGACTTTCAATAAGTGCATTTCAATGGAAAATGGTATACCCATGATAAAAAGAGTAATAACTACTTTGTCTATTTGGACATTTTTTCTGTCAAGATAAGGGGGAACCCTGTGAGGGTTTTGATGTGTGAAAAATGTTACATTACAGGTCATTTAGCTGGTGCTTTTATCCAAAGCGTCTATCATTGCATTTTTAAGCCATGGCTTTTTACATTTATGCTTGCTTTTCTTGCTCAGGGACACTCCAGGCATAAAGCAGCCCCATGTCGGTTCCCGGCACACCCTCTTCACCCCTGCGCCACGTCGCCCCCCATACCACTAAAACCTGTGTGGAAGGCACTGAAATCGCCTTACTTGTTGTTTACTAACCACGAGGAGCATTTATGATATGATATGCTAGCTGTTCAGTGCCTTGTTTTTGTTGTTAGCTTCTAGCTTTGACAAAAATAGTGTACATAATACCACCCTGTTCAGATTATCTGGACTAATTTTCATGACATATCTAACCCGTTGGAGTTGTGTTTGGAGCAGGTAAGTGGAGATGGTAGCCAAGACAAATTTGTAATGATGGCTAAATTTGGTCCTTTTGTGTTATAGCTTCTGAAAGGTTAATGGTTATTTTTTTAAATGTTCCAGTGTGATTTAAAATATTCATCAGGTGTCCACATGGACACGTTTTTCATGCTGTAATGGCCCCTTATGTTCATACTGGCCAGAAACACACAACCAGTCTGCTTTCAAAGGAAGTGATGGGGAACTAGAGGCCTCCATGAAACCGGGCATTGTGCTTTTCTGGTGGGAAAAGTAAAAAAAGTGTGACTGTTTAATATTAGCATAGGTAACAACCACTATACACTAAACAAGCGCTGGCGTTGGTAGACGCCAAAGAATTGTAGAAATGCCGCCAAAAAAAGACCATTAGAAGAAGAACAGCAGTATTAAAGGCAGCACATGCTGGATCCACTCTCACCTTTCATAATAAAAGCCCCAGACATATAATATCCGGTGGCAAATATTTCCTATTCTTATTTTATTCATCCGTCACGACTTCCTAACAACTTTAAAATAAACAAACCACTACTATGTCCTTCCACAAGTTTCATAGTTTTGTAAATTGCGCTTAAATAGGCCCAAAATGATTTTAATTTCATGTAAAGAAGTTTGACTAACAATTACTGCATTTGCGGAAACAAGATTTTTTTCTCTCTGAAATCTTATCTCTGTCAAGAGTACACCATAAAATTCAGAAAGCACTTGTGAATGAACAAAGATAACAGCTCGGACTGTGTATTAAAGCCCTCCAATCCATTTAGAGCACATTAGGGATGGATCATTTCATGAGAAATACACCAGAGAGAGAAAGAGAGCAAGAGAGTTAAAGAAAAGGAGAAGACTGAGTTTGTGACTACGTCGTGGCCCACTGTGGGTGAGTGGGGAGCGCGGTACCAGGCCCAATGTGGGTGAGTGGGGAGCGCGGTACCAGGCCCACTGTGGGTACCAGGTCCGGCTGACCCACATGTCCATGTGTCCTTGGGCAAGACACCTAACCCAACATGGCTCCTGTAGCTTCAAAGTTTATTGTAAAACATTTGAATATCTTTTCAGGAATGTTTGAACAATACCTGTTTAAGTTACAATGAGGAACTGACACCAGTGTACTGTCCCGAGGCAACACGATGCCTGCAACACGATGCCTGTTTGGGGGTAATGCAATACCAAGTGTGTCTGGTAGGGAGAGCGTTTTTTGTTTTTTCCAATACTCCGCCCCAGGGCTTCCTGCCCCCCCCCCCCCCCCCGTCGCTATTGGCATCACCCGGGGTGACTGAGGCTCAATTGGCACTCCAGGGTGATGGTGGGTGGTTTAGCTGGGGGTGGATGGTGAGGGGGGGTGTTGCCTCTGTGTGCGTGTCGGCCGGCACACACGAGCGCTCTGAAATGAATAGTTGGCTGGGCTGGTTGGACCTGCAGACCAGGACACACTCATACACAGAGAGACAATACACTGACTAATCATACTCTCCTCGCATGCTTATGCTTACAAATATACAGCAAAGAAAACTACTAGTTAGGCTTTATTTCAGCAATATTTTCTATCTTACATTATTAGACAGGCATCATTTTGCATTCTCGATATTCAGCCTCCAGAATTACTTTCAGTCTGTAACAGTAAAGTGCAGTATTAGCTGTTATTCCTCAACATGGAAAATATTCATTGACTCCATTTAATTTGAGTGCAACATAAATGCTTATTATGCCGCTGAATCACAACTAAATTAAAGCAAACTAATTATACTTAACAGGGAAACAAAGTCAGCCGTATAATTATAATTTTAGGTAGACCCATATTACAAATGACCTGCTTCTGTAACTTGTTTTCCCTTAAACACTCACTTTGTCTCACACACACTCCAATCACACACACTTTATTTTTAAATACTTCCGTCTAGTAGAGAGAGGAAAATGAACTCCTGAGTGAGTGTGTGTGTGTGTGTGTGCACACCTTCTTCATACCAGTGGAGGGCAGAATTACATTTCATAAATTAGAAGAGTGTTGATTATAATGCAGGAGGAAAGAGGTGAAGAAAACAGGGGATGGAAGGGGAGGGTAAATGCTTTTCATATAATCTGACAGAGAAGTGAAACTTCCCTTTGTAAAGATAATGCCCTGAATAGAGTTGTAGGGTTTAGAAATCCAGAGGTCCTGATCCTCTACCACATTTTTTTTCTATAAATCTGAATGAGAAAATGTTATATTTTCCAAAAATACAGTTGGACTTGTTTCAAGTGACAAAACACGTTGCGTTTTCTCATTTCGGGTAATTTAAAAGTTCCTTAAAAATATATATTATACATACAAGTGTAACCAAAAACAAATGTCCTTTAATGGGGCTGGAAAAATGGAAATGGGAAATGAGGTGATGCAAGAAACCGTTTTTTCAATACTTTACTGGACTAAATTAAATAAAATGTTAAAAAAAATAAAAATAAAATTTGAATTGTAATATTATATATATATATATATATATATATATATATATATATATATATTGAATCAAAATATAATGGAATATTTAATACACTTAATCTTTAGCAACTTTTATATTGAATTTGCCATGAACAGTTCCAAATAGTCTATCAAGACTTTTTTTATATGTACTTTTAGTATTTATCACAATTAATAAAATAAACAATACATTAAATCATATTTCAACTGTTCAATTTGCCTTGAATTTATGCACACATAATAATATCAATACAAATCATTTTAACAGAATGTACAATATTAAAAACATGACGCAATTTAATTGAGAATCTTATGTGAGCACAGTTATTTTTCACATACACCAATTTGTGAGTTGTAATAATGTAGTGAAAAAAAAAAAAAAGAATCGGCTCATAAAAGGATGTTTGCGTGTCAATGAAGTGTAAAATGCAGCGTAAAGGGACAAACTGGAATAAAGCGCAGCCCCAATAAGTAAATCTCAGCATAAGCATTGGCTTCGAGATGCCAGCAAAAGAGCGTCTATAGAAACCCGTCTGAAATAAGGTCATGCCTTACGCAGGATCTCCTGTGTGTGCAGCCTCCTGGGTGAATGTGTGATTAGCCTAATCCCAGTAGTCACAGCTCTGCTCCCCCGATGTGGGGGGAGAGATTTAGATGGTGATACGCTGCCACCGAGAGAAGCCATTTTCGAGCTGTTCTCCCCCAGCTTCTGCCCCCCCCCCACCCTCACACGGCACAGACAGCTGCAGCAAGGCTCTTACTCCAAAGAGATACAAATGAATTCGGAGGGAGAAAAGGTTGCTGTGATTCATCAGTCAACCCCAAAGAGAGGTTGTGATTGAAATTTAAAAAAATGACATATCTGAAAATGTCACCCCGTGATTTGTGTCATTAAAAATAATCAGCACTCTAAAAAAGTACACCTAACTGGCCTTCAAAACCAAAGTTGGCTTTTAGTGTTTTTTTGTGAGCAGATTTGTAAGTCTAGTTTCTCCTGATGAGTGGCCGGTTTGAGCGTCGCGCCTCTTCACACCAAACAAACATCCTTTCCATTTCTTCCACTTTAACATGATGCACTTTGGGTATTTACTCTGCACTGGTGACATCACCACTACCACAGGGGAGCCTCTCTTCCCTCTCCGTATAGGCTGATCTGGAAGCAAATAGCGGATAAAATCCCAGTTGCATGGTAATAAATAGAACATGCCAATCAAATTAAGAAAGGCGCGTGAGGTTGGCCGGTGAGGAAAATGATCTGCTGATGGTTCCGAGACATTCCTCCTTCTTTAGGTCAGTGGAAGGCAGGTTTAGAAGGCCTATGAAAGAAACCGCGAAAATTCAACCACAAAGGAATGCATGCATTTTGCTGGGTGTTAAATTATTGGTACCAATGTAATTTAATTATTCCCTTTAAAAAAATCAAATGGATGTATTTACTTAGTTTATGATTTCTCCAACAGGAATGCACGCCAGTTAGACAGGGAACTTTCAGTGAATTTTCTATAATTGACAGAAATATGGTTAATGTATTTTATACGTTTTTCCCTGTCTAATGAACATTTCTTCAACCAGTAATGTCTTACATTCACGCATAAATACTGTAAATATGTATCATTACATTGAGTCTGCCTTGTGTATGAAAAGCGCTATACAAATAAAATTGCCTTGCCTTGCCTATTATGTATCATTACATAATAATAATGAAATAATTACATCAAACCAATATATTTAGTAAATTAATTAGGTAATACTTGAATTACATGCATTTTCCCACTGTTAAAGCAACATATATTAACAATAATTTACTGTAACTGTTATTTAATTGGCATAAAAAAACGCTCTGTAGTTTATGTCATTTAATTTTCCAGAATTGTTGCACTTTTGCTGAGAGTCATTATTATTATTATTTTCCCATAAATATCTTTTGATGCTTTTATCTTGTAATTCCTAATGTTACATTTCTTCCCAGCTCCTGTAACCTGCCTTTGACGAGGGCCACTGACATACTAGTAATGCTCTGCGGCCAAAGATCGCTGACATCAACAGTTGACTGTTCCTTTCCTGTAATTCGCACCTGTATTCTTAAATATGCAAATGAGAAATAATATGGTATATTTTGGAGTAGCCTAGAGTCACAAAGATAAGAAACAGCTACATTTGTTTTGAATATTTTCCTCTAGCTAGTCTCAAAAAAAGGTTACATTTTTTGTTTGGGCCTTAAATGACCAACATTGACATTGAGTTGGAACATTGTCTGTAGAGAGGAACCTGGTTACCTGCTCAGCGAGTGATAAGTGCAGGTGGAGACGGTTGGAGAAGGTTTCCCTCTCCACAGCAATAAAGACATCCTGTACTTTCTCACTCAGCCACTTTCACGCCAGCGGCGAGCCGATGATGCAATCAGTCGACATGGAGAGAGGAGTCCGTGGTTAACTGGAACCTTCGCTGCTGAAGATCCGGCCGTGTTCAGCGGTGGGTCAGAAAGGCCTCTTAGCAGCTGCCTGTCACTGGTGAATGGACGACACCGCAAGGCTTATTTATATGAATACGACAGCACATCTGAAGACAATGCCATCTGTCAAACGCTAATTGAAGAAGTGCCGACACAAACAAGAAGAGATTCCTCCCTAAATCCTTTGAACCACTTCTTTATGAACCCAGCAGCCGAACAAACACTGATTCTAGATTTCTGTGACATCAGCAAAACAAAGTTCATTATTGGGAATGGAGGAGGTTTTTCATTTCGGGTGCTTCTGCTGAGACGTTGATGGCGTCGACGAGATGATAAACGACGCACCTCGGCGGACGTGATCCACGTTGGCGACGTGTGATGACTAATCTCCAGACTCCATCCGGCGTTGGTTCATTAGAAATGCGTTAAACTCACCGGTTGGGTTTACGCCTTCAAAGGCAGGGGGAGGAGGACGTGTTGTTGCTCTGAGGCACAGGGGGAAAAAAGCGGGATTGACAGATGAGTTGGGCGACGCGGATGGGAGGAGACAGGCAGCAAAATGGAAAGGGAGGATCTGTAGTCCGGCTATTCTAATGGAGAACAGAGAAATGATTCTTCAGACTGACACTCTAAGTTGGTTTGTTAATTTATCTGAGCTGCTCAGACAGGCACAGATGAAAAGAAACATTCGGATGACACCAGAGCCGCACCTCCATTTTGACTGCTGGCGAGGTGCAAACCAACAACAGCAACCTGTAAAAGTGAATAAAGTCTGACTGGAGCCAAACCACATGTTCTTCTCCACATCTGTAAACCCTTTTTTTTTGGTTTCACAAAAGACTCGTTCCTCATAGTTGCACTGTAAAATGTATTTGCATGTACTGTCGCTGGCTAACAGCCACAGCGACTCTTCAACAAGCTCATCAATGTTATTTACATCAGCTGTGGCCAACTAACTGCAGTGTTCTTCAAAACACACAGTTCACCTTCATGGATCAAATCTTCCAATCTCAATCCAGTCCCAAAAAACTTCAGTTTCAGTTTCATTTTGGGGTTTAAACTCTTGCGAGGCTTTGGCGTAGAACTGGCACATCCGGTTTGTGGAGTTAGTGGCGGCGTTATTTCATGTACTTCTCAGCTTGCTTATTTTGACTGTCAATACAAAAACCAAAGCCATGCATTAACATTTGATCTAGTCTGTTAAAGAAGACAAGGTGATCACACCAGCACAACGCAACCTGGATGGGCGCGCGCATGCTGGGTGAGTTACAAGCAAGACCAGCTTGTTCTCACGTCTGGTGGTGGTCACAAATAACTTTGGTTCCATCGACCACAAGCTTTAAATTGAAACTGTCCTCGTGAGACTGGCCGGGACGGGAGGGAGTGGAACCATTTCTCTGTCCCACCAGTTGCTTCATTTGAGCTTGTGTTAAACCCGAGAACGCAGGGACGATGCTCGTCCTGAGCCAATATCCATCAAGGTCACAGCCTCACTGTGACCCAGGGTCTGTCTATTCAGGGACAACACCTAATGCGTTTACAGACAAATAATAATTCCTCTAAATACAAAACCTTATCAAGAAGAAAATTAAAATGATATGACCAGAAAAAGAATAAGTTCCGTGTCTTCGGATTGACCTCATGCGGAACAAAAGCCGTGCGTGCAGAGCGAGGCGCACTGCGGCACCCGGCACATAGTTTTGCACTTTCGGGAACACGTGCGAGCGCCGCGAGGCCGCGTGGCAGCGCAGACCTTGATGGCGCCGGCAGCCGGCGGCTTCAAACAAACAAGACGACAAGAGAAACTTCTGCCGACCTTTCATCCACGCGAGCGTATTCAGCGGGGACGCTGCCTTTCATTGGTGACACCTCGCGCTATCAGAGCGGGGGCTGCGCCACTTCTGAACGCCTCTTATCTGCTAGCAGAAAAAAGGGGGGAGAGGAAGCTCTCGCTGGGCTGCGCTGGTGGAGGTGGCGGTGAAGATGTGAGGGTGGCGGGGAGGTGAGGAAGGAGAGCGCGAGCGCCGCGGCAAAACTTCCTCCTTTGTTTACGGGGAGCTAATTGGGACGCTGAGCCTGCCAGGCGAAGCCACGCAAAGCGCCCCGCGCTCCCTCTGTCATTCTCTCAGAGCGACCGCGGCAGCTGTGACGCGTCACAGCCGCTGCCGCTGCCGCCTCTCGCCCCGGTGGCTTCCTCCATTTGTCTCTCGCGCGATTTCCTGTTTCCTGTGCGCGGCTCCCCCGCCTCGCCCGCCCACCGGCGCCCGTGGCCTGGCAGCGTTGGAGGCGGGGCCACCAGAGGGGAGAGTTGTTGAAGCGAGCAGGAAGATGCTGACAGGAAGGATGGCAGCAGCCTCCCCCCCCACCTTCATTTGTTTCACGTCTTCCAGCGTCAATTTTTCTCGCCAGTGTGTTTCCACCCCGATGCAGTGAAAAACGAATAGAGAAGGAGAAAAGTTTTCATGTTCAGACTACAATCAGAAAGAAGAAGAGCTTCAAATGTAATTGCTGAAATCGCTGTTCAAGATAAGTATCGATTTTCATTAGAATTAATTGATGACGCCGATAAAAGATGCACAATAAAAACCAAAGGTAGCAGCAGATGTTGGTTGTCCGGGTGCACATTCATCATACCGTAGCTACCTATGGAAGAATGTGTTTTTTTTCCACAATGTAATCATCGTTCATACATCTGAATCCTCAATTGATCTAAATCACTTAAAAAGAAAAAGGCGATAATGAACTGCAGCTGCACGACGGCGAACTCCAGGGGGAAACATGAGGACATCATGGCAGATAAAGTCCCAACACCGATATGAAAACACACACAGCGTCCACTGACTGGTGTGTGTGAGTTGGGGGGTATCAACCCCCCCCCTCCCATTTAACATCAGTGTAAACAAGGCCAACAAAGGCCAGATTAGAATAACAGTGCGTCTGCGTGGAGGAAGTCACCAATTATTTGGGCATGCAGCATTTGCAGCAAGCGGTTCCTTATTTAGCATCAGAAGAGTTGAATGCAACTTCTGCCTGCAGCATACAGACACACACACACACACACGCGCGCGCACACACACAGACACACGCACACGCACACACACACGAATCACAACTCCCTAATAAACCCAGCAGCCTTAAATAATTTATCAAGTATGGATTTTGCTTAAAATAAATGACTTTGTTTTCAAAGGGTGCTTTCACTTATCATACGTTAATGATGAGAGGAATAAATAACCTGAAAAAAACTTTGAAAACAAAGAAACGGAATGAAGGAAAAACAATAGAACAATTTTTTACAATCTTCAAAAACAACGATTGTTTTATGCTTTTCTGTCTATGATCTGAAAATGTGTTTCAAGGTTGTAAGGTTGATCATTTAATCACAAAACACACTGTGTCTCTCTTACACACACACACACACACACACACACACACACACAGATACTCAGTTTATGGCTCTCTTCTTCATTTATGTCTGCAGCTGATTGATTTAATTAGTTTAACATATATATGCATAATTAATGCCAAATATTACCAATTCTAAATATATCCCAACACACCTTGAGTGCACAATTATTTTTCAGACGCCCTGAAAACATACATTCTATCAGCATTTAAAAAAATAATTGTTCCCTTCTATTCTTCATTAAATATTCATATTTTACTGAAACACATCTGAGAAAAATACAATATTTACATGTGCTTGTGTTTGGGGCTGTTTTGACGATGATGATATATAAAAAAATATATATATATATATATATATATATATATATATATATATATATATATATATATATATATATATATATATATATATATAAAATAAACCCTGATCACAGCAGAGGGCATTTAGTATGGTTTTATGGATGGAATAAAGAAATAGGATTACAGAATGCATTGGTTCATCTTCTGCCCTCCTGTTGTGCATGTAATAGTGGAATGTATATATTCCACAGGACAACCTTTGAGCTCTGTGTTGCGATGTTTTAGCGCTTCATGCTCGCTGCAGACTGTGGGGTCAGTGACAACTACAACTTAAAACCACTTGTGACGTCCCATTTCCTCTTTCCTATTTCATGTTGCACAGCATCTCCCCCAACACCACCGTGTTATAGGCTTACACAGTTAATTGTCAATAAAACATTTTTCATGAAATAAAAATGTGAGGCAAAGTATCCAAATCAGACTGTGTAATCAGAAAAGCTGTCAGTCAAATTTGTGGTTATTTTTGTTTTAGTTTGACAAAAAAAAAAAAGAGAAGGTGCACTCAGGAACTTAACCTCCTTTCCTCACTGTCTTCTATCTTGCCCCAAAAAATGGGAGTAAATTCATCCGGGCGCGCTTTGTGGCGAGGATAAGCACCGTGGTTAAGGTTCTGCTGATTTTCATGTAATGACTGGCAGCCGTAACACCTGGCGCTGTGAAATCCAGAAATTAGCACACTCCGGGGAAACAAATTGCTTTGTTGATGCAGAACTTTAGAGAGAAAGGGGGGGTTTTGTGGATTCACGCTTTATTTTTACAACTTTTGGAGTTGCAGTGTAGTAACACATATAACTTGTTTTTAAAGCTGCTGTTTTCTTTGTTCCACAAAGTATCAGTTATCACAAGCTGGTGTCGATGAATCCACTTATTGAGGTAATTATAATCATCCCCATTCAGCCTCTGACCTGTTTGAGGGCCTCAGTTCCTCTAACCCTTCTGTCAGAATAATGGGATTGATCCCATTATTCATGTGTCACTTATTTCAGAGGATAGAAAATCAGCCTCCACTGTTGGCTTTTGGAGGAAGGATCCTTGAGTTGGCAAACACATTAAAAGGTTCCAGCGCAATGACCTTTGGCAAACATGTATTTCCAATTTATTTTGAATTCCTTTCAGATATTTCGCAAAGTTATTGGACTGCAGGGCAAATATTTTTAGGTTAAAGAGGTGGTGTAACGAGTTACCAATATATTAGAGCTTATTACTTTTGTGTGTAAAATGTGGCTTTGGCTGTCGTATCTGTAAGTGTTCTCCTACACACAGTGTCTTAAAATCAGTCTAATTCAAATACTGGAATGATGCTTTTCTTTCTAGAATGTGAGATCTACCCAGGGTGCTGAAGAAAATATAGAAAACGCTCTAAATGTTTTCATTGTGATGATGAAAGGTGAAAAGTAAGTGCTGGAGTTACTAACCAATCTGATGTACTTTTATGCTACATCTTCTGAAAGGTGTAGTGGCTAATTTAAAAATGAATATTATGTGAATTAAAGAAGTACTACATATCCATTTTATATAAGATGTGTTTTGAAAACGTTCAACGGGAATATGCGGCAACTCTTATGCTAAAAAACATTGCCTGTAATACACCTTCACACCTACACATTCAGCATTTTACTTTTCTGGGATTTTATTTTGTTACTAAAACATGATTTATCTTTTGCTAAAGAACTTTAACTTTTAAATTAGTATTTAATATGTGAAAAAGCTTGAGACGATTGAAACCGCGTTTGAATGTGGGTGAACAGTCAGCGAGTCTGAGCGTGTCTTTGGCCCTCAGTGGCGACCTACACAGGCGGCCGGGCCCCCCTCCCAGAAGTCCCTTCCAAGCCGAGCAGTGACGGCGGCACATTTTACCAGCGGATAGAGATCTCTGCCTCTCCGCTGAGGCATCTTCTTATCTTGTCAATCAGCAGCACGCCTCCGCCGCGGCTCTGCGCGGGGCTGAGCAGCTTGGCGGAGATGCATGGCGATGATGAGAACTCTTCGCGGCCTAGCAGGGTTTCCTCCTCATCAAGCTCAGAACAAAGGGGGGGCCAGGTCCGCTCTGCTGCTCTAAATACAGCCTGCAACCTGCCCTAGCCAACTGCCGACACCCCCACCTTTTATACCCGGGAAAGTGGAAGTGAAGCAGCCGTAATGGGTGAAATCAGAGGTGCGGAGGCCCGACGTTGGACTTCAACATGCTGTGGTGAAGGATGGAGGTGTTTGATGAGAGCATAGTGGACGTTTTCAAACCATAGGGGACAAGAATTTAACATTGAGAGCATTGATAAATCTCTCAATTCCTCCACCCGCCCCTCCCCGCCCCAAGCCCTCCTCTCTGGACCCCCCCGGCTCCATTGTCTTTTTATTAGCACACTAATAGCACAGTTAGCTGCTCTGCGGATCTTCGAACAGCATGGTGTTGTTTGCTTGTGTCACACTTTATTATCTGTGGCCTTGATTG